GGTGCTCCTATGTTGGGTGCATAAATATTTACAATTGTTATATCTTCTTCTTGGATCGATCCCTTAATCATTATGTAGTGTCCTTCTTTGTCTCTTCTGATAGTCCTTATTTTAAAGTCTATTTTGTCTGATATGAGAATTGCTACTCCAGCTTTCTTTTGGTTTCCATTTGCATGGAATATCTTTTTCCATCCCCTTACTTTCAGTCTGTATGTGTCTCTAGGTCTGAAGTGGGTCTCTTGTAGACAGCATATATATGGGTCTTGTTTTTGTATCCATTCAGCCAATCTGTGTCTTTTGGTGGGAGCATTTAGTCCATTTACATTTAAGGTAATTATCGATATGTATGTTCCTATTCCCATTTTCTAAATTGTTTTGGGTTCGTTATTATAGGACTTTTCCTTCTCTTGTGTTTTTGTCTAGAGAAGTTCCTTTAGCATTTGTTGTAAAGCTGGTTTGGTGGTGCTGAACTCTCTCAGCTTTTGCTTGTCTGTAAAGGTTTTAATTTCTCCATCAAATCTGAATGAGATCCTTGCTGGGTAGAGTAATCTTGGTTGCAGGTTTTTCTCCTTCATCACTTTCAGTATGTCCTGCCACTCCCTTCTGGCTTGTAGAGTTTCTGCTGAGAGATCAGCTGTTAACCTTATGGGGATTCCCTTGTGTGTTATTTGTTGTTTTTCCCTTGCTGCTTTTAATATGCTTTCTTTGTATTTAGTTTTTGACAGTTTGATTAATATGTGTCTTGGTGTATTTCTCCTTGAATTTATCCTGTATGGGACTCTCTGTGCTTCTTGGACTTCGTTAACGATTTCCTTTCCCATATTCGGGAAGTTTTCAACTATAATCTCTTCAAAAATTTTCTCAGTCCCTTTCTTTTTCTCTTCTTCTGGAACCCCTATAATTCGAATGTTCGTGCGTTTAATGTTGTCCCAGAGGTCTCTTGAGACTGTCCTCAATTCTTTTCATTCTTTTTTCTTTATTCTGCTCTGCAGTAGTTATTTCCACTATTTTATCTTCCAGGTCACTTATCCGTTCTTCTGCCTCATTTATTCTGCTACTGATCCCATCTAGAGTGTTTTTCATTTCATTTATTGTGTTGTTCATCATTGTCTGTTTCATCTTTATTTCTTCTAGGTCCTTGTTAACTGTTTCTTGCATTTTGTCCATTCTATTTCCAAGATTTTGGATCATCTTTACTATCATTATTCTGAATTCTTTTTCAGGTAGACTGCCTATTTCCTCTTCATTTGTTTGGTCTGGTGCATTTTTATCTTGCTCCTTCATCTGCTGTGTGTTTTTCTGTCTTCTCATTTTGCTTATCTTACTGTGTTTGGGTTCACCTTTTTGCAGGCTGCAAGTTCGTAGTTCCCGTTGTTTTTGATGTCTGTCTCCAGTGGCTAAGGTTGGTTCAGTGGGTTTTGTAGGCTTCCTGGTGGAGGGGACTAGTGCCTGTGTTGTGGTGTATGAGGCTAGATCTTGTCTCTCTAGTGGGCCTGTCCACGTCTGGTGGTGTGTTTTGGGGTGTCTGTGACGTTATTATGATTTTAGGCAGCCTCTCTGCTAGTGGGTGGGGTTGTGTTCCTGTCTTGCTATTTGGTTGGCAACGGTTGTCCAGCACTGTAGCTTGCTGGTTGTTGAGTGAAGCTGGGTGCTGGTGTTGAGATGGAGATCTCTGGGAGAATTTCACCGTTTGATATTATGTGGGGCTGGGAGGTCTCTTGTTGACCAGTGTCCTGAAGTTGGCTCTCCCACCTCAGAGGCAGAGTCCTGACTCCCGGCTGGAGCAGCAAGAGCCTTTCATCCGCTCCACTCTTGTCTTAAATTAAATATTCATATATGTATGAGTCTGTTTCTAGATTCTGTTTTGTTCACTTGTCTGCTTTGCATTGGTACCATTAAGTAAAATTGTATAAGTTATGATCGATTTTTTTTTTTTTTTTTGGTGCGGTACGTGGGCCTCTCACTGTTGTGGCCTCTCCTGTTGCGGAGCACAAGCTCCGGACGCGCAGGCTCAGCGGCCATGGCTCACGGGCCCAGCCGCTCCGTGGCATGTGGGATCCTCCCTGACCAGGGCACGAACCCGCATCCCCTGCATCGGCAGGCGGACTCTCAACCACTGTGCCACCACGGAAGCCCTATGATCGCTTTTTAATTAGTCTTAATATCTGGTAATTTCTCCTGCCTTTTATTCTTCTTCCAGTATGCCTTATTTATGTTGCAAATCCATATACATTTTAGATTTGTTAGTTCCCTGTTGCTTTCACATAAATTTGTTCATGTTTTATCCTTTCTTTCTTTTTAAGAGCACAATTCAGAATTTGCAGTCCCATATCCTAGCGGCTTTAATATTAACACGTCTATATCTAGCTGTAAGAGAGGCTTGAGAAATAGTCTATAGCTTGTTGGCTATTTGATAGCTAAAACTATTATGGCAGAAGTGAGAAACCATATTAAAAGATAGCTAGAAATCTGCTGTACTATTTGAGATTCCTTTAAATCAAATGCAGCCTCACAGTTTTTATCCCTCCCCTCCCACCTCCATTGTGGCTTACTATACACTCTGGAGCTTCTCTGGCTTTCCACAGTGGCATGCTCCCATAGCATGATACCAGAGGTTCTGTAGGTGGTTTCTTCTGTGTTTCATAGGCACATAAATGTCTGGGAACTACCCAACCCCAAGGGGCAATGGATTGATTGAGTATATTTATACACGTGACCCTAACTAGTTCTTTCTTGTATCAGGTGTTTTTGCAGTATGTAATTGTGTCATAGATGCAGTACATGCAGAAATGATGTCTGATTTTTTATCTATGTTAGTGGTAGATTTTCCATATTTTCTTACATTATCAAAATAATCTACAACTTTGTAAGTTTATTCCAATGCAGACATGGGCACAAAAGAGTAAATAATTTCCCATGCAGGAAATGGGAAAGGAAAAATAATGGAAATGATTAGAAAGTTTTGTAGGTTTTAAAAATTTTTTATTTTAAATTAAATTGTGGTTAAAATAAAAACATATGAAGTTTACCATCTTAGCCATTTCTCTAAGTGCACAGTCCAGTAGTGGTAAATATATTCACACTGTTGTACAACCAATCTCCAGATCTTTTTCTTCTTGCAAAATCTGAAATCCTATGCACATTAAGCAACAACTCCCCATTTCCTTCCCTACCAATCCCCTGGCAACCACTCTTCTACTTTCTGTCTCCATGAGTTCAACTACTCTAGGTACTTCATTAAAGTGGAATCATACAGTATTTGTCCTTTTGTTTAGCATATTGTGTTTAAGGTTCATCTATGTTGTAGCATGTGTCAGAATCTCCTTTTTATAGGCTCAGTAATATTCCATGTATGTATATAACACATTTTATCTATCTGTCAGTGGACTCTTGGATTGCTTCCATCTCTTGGCTTTTATGAATAGTGCTACTGTGAACATGGGTGTGCAAATATATCTCTTTGAGATCCTGCTTTCAGTTCTTTTGTGTACATAGCCAGAAGTAGAATTACTGGATCATGTTTGTGAGGTTTTGTTTTTTGTTTTTTGCTTTTCCCTATTAACGTGAAAGAGATCCATTAGACTTAAATTTTTAAAAATCTTTTTAAAAAGAAAAATTACAAACAAATAAATGATTTTTTAAGAAAACCAAACTTCCCAGGTTTTTGGATTGTCACCCTACTTTCTTAAAGACTTAAGTTGGGGTTTTTTTTGCTATTTCCTGTTTATATCTTTGTGAATTGGTGGCGTATTGGTAAGAGTTCCAAATTCTTAATCATTCCCTTACGTAGGGGCAAATTTTAGAAATCCTTCAGAAAATTGAATTTACAATTGAAATAAAATTTTAACTTTGAAATTTAAGCAAACAGCTTTATGGGAGCTGGAATTGAAATAGCACTCCAACTGTTTATATAGAAGGAAATGTTGCAGTAGAAGAAGCTTATCAGATTAGAAATAGAATTAGACTAATTCTGGGTTCTAGTCCCACCCTCTTAACCTTGTGACCTTGGGTAGATCACTTAAACTTTCAAGATTCAGTATCCTCATCTGTAAAGTAGAAATTTATCTATCTGCTTCAGAGTGTGAGAACCAAGCAAGATACTGTATCTGAGAGTATTTTAAAAATATTTATCCATCCATTATTTTAAAGCACTGGTAAGTAAATTTAATGATATAACTTTAAAGGATAGCAGGTAATAACTTTCTTTAATACCTTAACCAGTGAGAGTGGTGGTTTGCCTCAAATTAATATACGTCAGATCCTCTTTGAAATATCTTTGAAAGTTATTTTAATTCAATTGAAATGGAGAAAAATTATGCTAAGGTACTTCACTTGGTTCATGATAACACTAAACTGACTTGTTGGCACAGAATCAGTGGTCTTTATACATGCCGTGGGGAAAAATGTATAAAAAACAGGAAGTCTTACATTTCTTCCTCAAAACTGGAATAAATGCATTACATATTATAAATACTCCTATTTAATTGTAAGTTTCTTGAGAACAGTATTCCCTCCAGTGCATAGTAGTTAAGCACAGTAAATACTCAGAAAATATTAGTTCAGTTGATCTATTAATAGTCATTCATAATTATAAGTAAAAAGAGGGCCTGTTTGTTCCTTCTTTCCATTCCTTTCCTCTTCCTTCCACCATGTCATCCTAGGCACCTGTGCACAACCTGCCACAGCTACGCCCTTGTACCTAATGAGAATTTCTTTTGATGTAGTTTTTGCAGAATTTCCAGTCAGAGTCTGAACTAAGTATTAAAAATACTACAGCAGAGAGAGAAAATTATTCTTATATAAGATTAGGGTAAAATATATTTGTGTTATCTGAGCTTGTTTATGTGATGCTCTACCACAAAAATAAAAGTATATGATACATCACAGAATTTTCCCTCAAATGTAAATTTTACAGCGTTTTGTTTTTTATTGGTATGTCATCTATGGCGAACGGTGTGTTCACAACTTTCCTTGACTTAATCTCTTTCTATCATGTTCAGGGTCAATGAAGACATGAAATTAACTGACTTAGAGCTGGGAAAGCTAGCAAATAATGTCCAGGAGTTATTATATAGTGCCTCAGATATATGCCATGATCGAGCTGTCAAATTTCTCATGTCAAGAGCAAAGGTTAGTTGTTTTGATAACCTTTAGATATTTTATACATAGTAACATTATTTTAAAGATCTGGAATATATCCTGGCTTGTGTCCCTATTCCACATAATGCATATTTTGAACACTTAATAAGGTACTGGTGTGGTCTATTAAGGAGATGTTGAAATGCAAAATAATCCAAATAAAAGAAATAGAAAAAGTTAAGCATGCTTTTCAAATAAATGATTAAAAGACTTATTTTGAAATATAATACCTTAATAATTAATTTGAAATTAACATGCTGTTTTTATACATATATATGTGTATACCTAGCCAAATAATTTATTAAGAAAATTAGTTGTACTCCAATAGTATGAAAATTGTATAGTATGATCTGAATTTATTTGAGCTACTGTATTACAAAGGGATCAGAATAAAATTTAGACATCTTAAACTTTTTATGCTTGATTTCTGGGACTAAAGTATTGGGAAATTTCATTTAAAATTGTTTTAAAATAATTTTTAGGATTTAATACAACTATTATAAAAACTATTAATATTTGTTTAAATTGGTTTTATAGCTCATCCATATTTGGTGTTATACTAACTCTCATGATTTTTGTGTTATCTTTAAAATTTAGGATGGTTTTCTTGAGAAGCTAAATTCCACAGAATTCATAACACTTTCCAGATTAATGGAAACATTCATTTTAGAAACTGAACAGATCTGTGGAAGAAAAAGCATGTCATTAATTGGAGCACTTCAGAGCCAAGCTAATAAATTTGTAAACAGGTTTCATGAAGAGAGAAAAACCAAGCTCAGGTATTATTACCATGTCCATTCTGTTCATTTTTTTCCCCTTTTCTTTACAAAACACAATTATATTTAAAAGAGGAAACTTCATTAATTGGCCAGTTAAAACCCCTGACAGATTTTTTTCTTTTTAATTAAAGACAGATTGTGGAATTAAAATCACATTTCTTAGCTTTTGAAAGTGTAGTTAGAATGTTTAGTTCCATTAAAGTACTTACCAGGAAGATCCTAATAGATTGACTTTTCCTTTCCCACTCAAAGTGAAGTTAATTATGTTTTCCACTCTTCCTGACTAGGCTAAGAGACATAAAAAGAGAAATATTTTCTGAAACTATTCATACTGTTTATGAATGATTTCAGTTTATTAAGGTGTTCGGCACTTTTTAAAGTCTTACGTACTAACAGGTAATGGCCATTATTATTTAAAAACTCAGTGCCTTGTATTGCATGGGCTCTACTTGAATTTAACTAAGATACATGTAGTCTTAAATATATAACAAAAGTCTTATGTACTCACTCAGCTCTTCCTTTTCTTTTCACCCAAGGAGATGGTGTTGAAATATTATTAAAGTTTATCTTCCTTTCTTTTTACTTTTGAATAGCCTCCTCTTAGACAATGAACGCTGGAAGCAAGCTGATGTTCCCGCAGAATTTCAGGATCTGGTTGATTCTATAGCAGATGGAAAGATTGCTTTACCTGAAAAAAAATCAGGGGGTATGTGTACTCTTTCACACACTCTCTTTCAGTTTTATATTGTTTGTTCATTTTGTAGGAGTGCTTAATATTTCTTTAATTGATAGTGCCTCTTGGGAAGCTTAGAACTAATACTCCTAGCTTAGTAAGTAGTTGATTGGAAAAGTATGTGGTAATTTATAATAATAATTTCAGACATTTATTGAGTATTAACCATATCCAGACACTGGACCAAGTGCTTTACATGCATTACTCCAGTTTGCCCTCACAACAACCTATGATAGATACTATTGTTACCTTGTTTAATAGTGAGGAGGCATGAGGCTTCCAGGGGTTAAGGAATTTGGTACAAATAAAGATCTGGGATTTGAAACCAACTTTATATAGTTTCATAGCTATGTTCTTAACCACTGTACTGTATTGTTTAGAGACATGTATTCTTTTATTGGACACTAGTATGCTTCTATGTGTCAAATGTTGAGACATAGGTAAGAGGTATAATTTTACTTTAAAAGGTCTAAGTCTGATGAAAAATATATTTATCATCAATCACAAGTAATGTAGTAGTGATATGATAGAGAAAACCAAAATATAAAGAACTGTAGAATAAGAACACTATGAAGGAGACTACAAAGGAAGGGCAGAGAGGTAGGACAATCCAGAAAAACACAGAAGTTAAAAAATTAGAGTTTCAAGAAGAAAATTGTCATTTGTATCAGATGTCAATTGGGTCTCTTATGAAAGACATGCAGTGGCTAGAGATATTTTTGTATATCAGTTAAAGTGGAGTTGTCATGGGTTAATAATATAAACTTGGGCTTCCCTGGTGGCGCAGTGGTTGAGAGTCCGCCTGCCGATGCAGAGGACACGTGTTTGTGCCCCGGACCGGGAAGATCCCACATGCCGTGGAGCGGCTAGGCCCGTGAGCCATGGCCGCTGAGCCTGCGTGTCCAGAGCCTGTGCTCCGCAACAGGAGAGGCCAAAACAGTGAGAGGCCCGCGTACTGCCAAAAAAAATAAATTAAATAATAATAATAATATAAACTTATGTACATCTCATCCTGTAATACCAGATTTGAAATTATGAAGTTTTGAATAAGTTTTAAAGTGTTTTTTTTTGTTGTTTTTAATAAATTTTTATTTATTTATTTATTTATGGCTGTGTTGGGTCTTCGTTGCTGAGCACGGGTTTTCTCTAGTTGCAGCGAGTGGGGGCTGCTCTTCATTGTGGTGTGCAGGCATCTCATTGTGGTGGCTTCTCTTGTTGTAGAGCATGAGCTCTAGGCATGTGGGCTTCAGTAGTTGTGGCTCGCGGGCTCTAGAGAACAGGCTCAGTAGCTGTGGCGCACGGGCTTAGTTGCTCCGCAGCATGTGGGATCTTCCTGGACTAGTGCTCCAACCCGTGTCCCCTGCAATGGCAGGTGGATTCTTAACCAATGTACCATCAGGGTAGTCCACATACCCTGCTTCTGTCTTTTGTTTTCCTCTGAGAAAGAAGAAAGGATATGCTATTAGAAATCCATTAACATTTTACTAGTTCATGCAGAGTTAAGGATCGTTGGTTATTATTCATGCACCCATCATCTATTTATTGAGTTATGAGCTACTTAGCTAGGCATTGGGGAGATGAAGTTTAATGGATAGCAGTTAATATTAATTTGGTGCTTACCTGATGCTAGACAGTTTTTTCTAAGCACTTTACATTGTTATCTCATTTACAGATCCATGAGCTAGACACTGTTAGTATTCCCATTTAACAAATATGGAAACTGAGGCACAAAGAGGTTAAGCAACATGCCTAAGGTTAGCTGGCTAGGAAGTGGTAGAGCTGGGATCCAACTGCAGGCCGACTGACTTTAGGGCCCTTCCTCTTAACTACTGTGCTAAGCCATTTCTTGCAGTATTGAGAATTGGTTAAGACACAACCCCTGCCCTCGAAAAACTTAATCTGACATACAGAGTGAATTGTGATTAGAAATTATATCACACTGAATTTCTTTCCTTGAAAGAGATGAGAAAGTAGATATGTAATGTCTTAGAACAAAAGGATTTGAAGCTTAGGGAAGCATGATGACTTACTTGCGCATAGTAATCTGTTTAATTTGGCTGATTCAGGGCAGTAATCCAGTCCACTGTTCTTTTCACCTCAATATGCTGAATTTTGTTTTTTAATGATAAGAAATACCACATGCTGAAAATAAAGTAACTTTTGGATTAAAATCTTGAAAAGTAATACATAATCTCTCCATTGAATTTAGGAATTAAGTTGTACTCTAAGGGTTATAATAAAGAAAAGATAACCAGTTGAAATGCTAGTTCTGCCTTTCCCAACTAATAACATTCTTTTTCCTTCTTATCGATCATCTGCCATGTGCCAGACCTAGAGGATAGCCAGTTCATAAGCATTATCTCTTTCAGTAACAACACTGAAAGGTAGATATTGTTGTCCATGTCTAATGGATACAGATATTGAGATTCAAAAGAAGTAATTGGCCTAGTCTTGCGTCCAGTAATTGGCAGTACTGGAATTCAAATCCAGATTTCTCTGATTCCAAATGCAGTATACTTTATTTACTTTGTGCTGAATTGTTTCCCAAGAAGTAGATTTATTTGCAGAAATGAGATAGTTTCAGGCCCTGAATAGGAACTTTTTCAGTTTTTTCCAGTTTAAATTTTTTATCCAATATTTTGTTTGATCTTATACCCATGTCTCTTTATTCGCTTTACTCTCTAGCTACAGAAGAAAGGAAACCAGCTGAAGTTCTCATTGTCGAGGGACAACAGTATGCTGTTGTTGGGTGAGTGACACGTTTTTCTTCATTAGTTGAATCAAGTATTTAAAACATAGGTCTTTTAGTTACCCCTTGATGTGAATTGGAAATTTTGGATTAACAATTGTAAATCTTACAAAGAATTTTAAAGAAATTTTATGGATTCATTTTTATTTTTCTATATTTTGTAGTATTCTGTATTCATTAGGACTACACTGGCTTAACAAAAAAAGAGGTTGGTTGATTTTTCTCATGTAACAAGAACCTCAAGGTACATAATATTCCAAGGGTGCTGTAGTGGCTCCATGATGTTATAAGTGTCTCAAGCTCTTTCTGTCTTTTTTTCCTGCAACTTTTTTAGTGTGTAGTATACAGCATAGTAGTTGAAGTTGTGAGTTCTGGAGTCAGGCTGCTTAGGTTTGAGTCCCAGCAGCTCTGTTACTTTGTGGCCTTGGGCAAGTTACTCTGTGCGCCTCAGTTTCCTTATTTATAAAACAAAATGTGGATAATAGTACTATACTTAGAATTATTGTGAAATTAAACAGGTAATTCATGTAAAGAATCTAGCACAGTTCTAGTACCTAACAAGAAGTTGATAGTTGTTGGTAGTTATTTCCATTATCATCATTTGTCATTAGGTCTTTTACCAAAAACAGTATTTCAAATTCAAGTTAACTAAGAAAAATGTAAATTCCAGTGTTGTTTGTCTAGTACTATATGTCTTTTATTAAATGGGTAGTTAAGATAATATCTTCACATACTTTAATTTTAATAACACTTCTTAGTTTAAATATTTTCATGTATATGATCTCATTTGATCTCTACAACCATGTTGTACAATAGACATTTCAGGGATTATTGTTCCCTTTCTACAGTTAAGAGAATTGGAGCTTAGAAGTTTACGTAGTTAATATATAATTACCCAAATGGAGCCAGAATTAAAATAAAAATCTAACTCCCAATATCTATACCAGAATTCTTTTTCACTTCTTTGTTTCTTGTCACTAAGTAAGTCTTTTCTGAAACAGCCATCCCTTCCAGGAAGAATGAATGATCCTCTCTTTGTAACTCTCTGTGCCTCTCTCATGGCACTTTCTGGTTAGTCTCTGAATTCCTCAAAGATGGGGATCATATCTTACCATTTTAATTTTTCTTAGCACCTAATAAGCACTCAAATAGTGTGTATAGAATTTATGCTTTTTCTCAACCTGTATACTATCCAAAACTCTGAAGTAAACCCATTGTAAGCTAAAGCTTCCATTCCTTTCTCCTCTGGAGTTCTTTTCCATTTCTGGTGGGACAGAGCTTTTTTCAACCTCCCTTTAATCTTAGTCCTTCAATCTAATCATGATTTCTTTCCTTAATTACCCATTGCAGTTGGCCCTCTATATCCATGGGTTCCACATCCAACCAACCAGGATGCAGAACCCGTGGATATAGAGGGAAGACTTTACTACGCCATTTTATATAAAGGACTTGAGCATGCATGGTTTTTGGTATCCACGTGATGTCCTGGAACCAATACCCTGTGGATATTGAGGAAGGACTGTGTCTTGTTACTCTTCCCTTGCTTGATGGAAATGGTCCCCTCTAGCTATCTGGCTTTCTTGCTCTTTAGGCAGAGAGGCTTCTGCCAAAAAACTGAACTCCCTGGCTAAAGGAGGAGTATTATATCTTCAGAGAGAAAATTACAAAAGATAAGCAATGGACTCCTGCCCAGTAAAGCAGACTCTAGGACTATGCATGGAGAGTAATATATGGTCTGACAATTAAGCTGTTATAAAGGCTAGATACTCTTCTTCTTGAATCACTGCTCTCTTCAGACTTTCATAAAACATTAGTTTACATGGATCACTCATTTCTGAGGATCTCATTGAATTTAGACGTGCTATAATGAATGACTCTTTCTCCCTTCGTTTCAACCTTATTTAACCTCCCAGTAGTGCCCCTTTTCAGCTTATGACATGTCCTGATAATGAGCTGATAACTTTCTCATCTTTGGAGAAGCTTTTGTGATTTATCAATAAACTTCTTAGAAGGTATATTGTTCTTAGAAGCCACAGTTTATCTTTCATCTCACTAAGAAAATCTAGACTAGGTTCCCTTCATTCATTCAACATTTATGAGGACCTACTACATAATCAGAAACACTGGTTAAGCTTTTTTCAGTGTTTCTAAATTGGCCAAGGAATGGGATACCTGCCTTATGGAAGAGACTTACCTTAGTGTGAATGTCACACAGAGAGTGATGTGCTCACAACACAAAATTTAAGGAGGTACCCTTTCTCAGTGTCATGCAAGTGATTACCTTGCAATTGCACAACCCTGAAATTGAGTGCCTCCTTAATTTTACACTCTAGGGATTTTCTGTTGTTTTACCCTAAGTCCCTACTCTGTTGCACTTATAGGTAAAACACATAATTTAACGGTTACCAAGATCAATATTGATTTTTATATACCAAATCAGTTTGACTTTTCTTGTTTTGAGTGTCTACTGGGTCATCTTTCTTTTTTTGTAGAACCGTATTGCTGTTGATAAGAATTATCCTTGAATATTGCCAGTGTGTGGATAATATCCCATCTGTTACTACTGACATGCTCACTCGTCTATCAGATTTATTGAAGGTGTGTATGATTTCACCCTTATGGAAAAAATAGTTGGAAGTAGTAATTCATTAGGGCGTGAGTAATCTTCCAACTCTAAGACATTTCGAGGATAAGCTATCTTTAAGACATTAATTTTGTGACATTTGATTGTGGTTGAACACAACATGTTATTTGAAGGAGGCCACCTGCTTCCTTCTCACTCCACATTTAGTGATTCCTCATTACACCCATAGAGTTGTTAATGATATCGGAGACAGGAGATGATTTGTTCGTTAGGTGCTGAACATGACTGAGGCCACTTAGGTCAAAAAACCTGGACTGGTTTCAAATGTGCATGGAAGGAATTCACTGAACTTTACAAAATTCATCTCACTAAGGTTAGAGATTTTTCTTAAATCATTATTTCAGAACCATTGATGTAAAATGAAACTGTGGTGATAGTGTTATTCAGCCATTTCATATTAACAGATATTTTAAACTACTAGCCTAGAGAAAAGGCTTTATTTTTTTCAAATACCTAATCTATCAATTAATTCTGTCCCAAAATTAAGTTGTCATATTTTAGTCCAGAAAGATTTTGTTACCCTTTCGAAAGTAGGACTATCCAAATAGAATGACTGAAGCAACTAGTTTTGTGAATGCCAATTAAAGATTAATTTCTGAACAACTGATGTTTAGAATTTCTCAACTTTTTCCCTACCAGACTGTAAATATTATCATTTGGGAACACCCCTTGCCTTTTTTTTTTTTTTTTTTTTTTTTTTATAAACAGATCCTAATTGCTCCTACTAGAAAAACTCATTTGGTCCTTCAATGAGAGGAAAGAGGAATGTATTTTTAGAATTAACACATTGCCAGCATATAAAGAATAGTTTTTAACAAATTTGGGGGGTTTTTTTTTTCTTCCTTTGTTAGTACTTCAATTCAAGAAGTTGCCAGTTAGTTCTTGGAGCTGGTTTTTTTTTTTTTTTTTTTGTCATTACATAAACAGATCCTAATTGCTCCTACTAGAAAAACTCATTTGGTCCTTCAATGAGAGGAAAGAGGAATGTATTTTTAGAATTAACACATTGCCAGCATATAAAGAATAGTTTTTAACAAATTTGGGGGGTTTTTTTTTTCTTCCTTTGTTAGTACTTCAATTCAAGAAGTTGCCAGTTAGTTCTTGGAGCTGGTGCACTGCAAGTTGTTGGACTAAAAACAATAACTACAAAAAATTTGGGTATGGATTTTTGCATTTAATTCACGTGCTGAGACATTACAGTGATGTCACTATACTCATGTTTTATTATACCTGATGTTTTTATGCCTCTAACTAAAGCCTCTAAAAGTAGCAATGTCACTTTCTTATGTATTGCCATAACTGAAAAATAACTTCTGGAGAAATGTTATGAGGAATTTTCACTCCAATAAATATAAGTTACTAGAAAGTTGCACTATTGTAAAAAAATGTTAAAATGTAATATGTATGAAGTATGTATGTATATATGGGGTGAAAGGTATCTGAATGTCAGTAGAGAATCAGTTGTCCCATTAGCTTCCTCATGCCAGTACTACTCACAACTTGAGTCCATTGGGAAAGCAGCATAATTCATTACATCATTCAGTACCAACTGATTTTCTTAAACAAAAAGTATGAAATATGTTGCTTTCTGTTACTGTGTTCTTCAGTTATGTAATAAACTGGGTTCTGTATAAAATTAATTGATATCTTTTACATAATTTGATAGGTAATTAAATACCTTAAATACCAGCTAATACCTTTTTTTTCCTCCACGATATGTCTGCCTCCCGGATCTTCAGCTCTTTCTTCACGCTGTTTGCAGTTAATCGTGCACTACATTCCTGTGATCAGGGCTCATTTTGAAGCTCGACTGCAGCCTAAGCAGTATAGTATGCTTAGGCATTTTGATCATATCACTAAGGTACCTTTCCATGTATTTTCTACTGGAGTTTCATAAATTTAACTCCGTAATTGTTAAGTATTTTAGATGTGTCCCAGGGACTTTAAAATATAACGTTATTTCTCATTACAGGACTACCATGACCACATAGCTGAAATATCAGCTAAGCTTGTAGCGATAATGGATAGCTTATTTGACAAGCTGTTATCTAAGGTAATAATTTACGGAAATTATTAGGCTTTGCTTGGAAGCGTTGTGACTTTTCACAGTTGTCTAACAAATCAAAATTGTTCCGGGTTTAGGGAAAAACTCAAATGTTCAGATCACCCAAATAGTTGATATTCATTTCCTAAGGGACTTGGGGGTAGGGGTGGCGGAAGATGATTTCAAGGATGATAGAAACCCTATATAGAAGTAATTTTATATTAGCTGCATTGAAAATTATGTATCTTCAAAGCATATTTTAGTCTGAAAGCCTTGCAGAGACAGAATTGAGAAAATAAACATTAAATTATTTGTAGTAAAGTGTGTTATTTTATTTTCCAGGCCAAGAAGGCAGAGCCTGAGGTGCTCTCTTATTTCCGTCATAGATATTCAATTTCAGTACTTGTTTCTTATTTGCTTCCCATTCCACATAGGTCATTAAAAGGAGCACTGTTTTCCAAAAAATTCTTAATTGCACTGGGAGGGTATCTTCAGAAAAATGTCACTTAATCAGCCCTAGTCACTTTTGCCCTATCCCTCACTCCTTTCCCTAAATTATTCAGTACATGTCTTAGAGAGAAAGCAGAAATCTCATACCTTGAAAGTTTGAAGGTTTATTTAGTTTATACTTTTGCCCCAGAGTATTTTTAGAGTAATCCTATAAAGCAAGACCCTTTGATATGCTTTTCCTTCTACTTGGATCCTTCAGATTCTGAGATGGTAAGAGCAGCAGGCACATAAAAATTATAAAAAGGCAAGATAAAGTGGTGCCCATTCACAGCCAAATCTTTGAAGTTGACAGTGAGAAGGAGTGATTGGAAAATAAGATTGCATTTGTTTAATGTTAAGTTCTCAAACATTTTGATCATAGGACCCCCTTTACATTCTTAAGAATAATTGAGGACCCCAAAGAGCTTTTTTTATGCAAATATACTTATCAGTAAGTACCATATTAGAAATTAAAACTAAAAAAAATTTAAAACACAAGAATACATAAACACACATTTGATTAGCCTTCAGAATGACATCACAGGTCATCTAAAAATCTCCACCATTCAATCATGAGAGACTGCAAGTGAATAATACTAATCTTATTATTATTATGAAAATGGTTTTTACCTCACATATTCCCTGAAAGAGCCTCTGACTCCCAGGTGTCCCCAGACCACACTTTGAGAACCTCTGACGTAGTTAGTATATAGTATAGATGTTTTATGCTTTTCTTTTAAGAAGCTTAAGGAATTTATAGTTATGTGCAAACATACCTATGTTATGTTATACCTTCTAAGTTTCTAGTTTTGTATGGAGAAAAATTATTGGTTAGAAATTCTCTTATTTTCTTCATGGTTGCCAAGTACAAGCTAAATGCAAAAGCAGTTCTATTCCACCAGTTTCCTTTTTGATACATGACATTCTTCTGTGTACCAAAAGTCAATGAATAATGCACTGTGACCCTCAAGAAGTTTATCATCTAACAAGGCAGAGGACTTAACACCTAATAATGTAGAGTAAGGTAAATGTTAAATAGTGAAACTAGTAATAAGCTGGGGAATAGAATGAAGCAAAACCAAAAAAGTGCTGGTACTCTTAAAACCTTGACTTTTTTCTATCATGTTGGTTGGTCATCCAAAGTCTATGAACAAGAATTGGGACTATGGCTAGACTTTTTCCTGTGACAATTCATTGCATTCTTTTTTCTCTCTTTCTTTCTTTTTGGTAAAGAAAAATAAAAATTATTTAATGAGCTTCCCATGTATTTATCACCTATATTTAACAGTCATTAATATTTTTCTTTTTTTGCTAAAATATTTTATAGTTAATTTGAGGCACTATAATATTTCATCCCTAAATACTTGGGTGTATATTTCTAAAAACTAGGGAGGGATACTTTTTTATATAATCACACTACTATATCACACCTAACAAAATTACATATTGCATTTGGTTATTATGTCTCTTAACTCTTTTATAAATTTCAAACACCTCCCTCCCCATTTTTTGTCATTTTTTTAATGTCAGGAGTGTGCCTAGACATTTGCAACTTAGCGTTTTCCCTGCTACCTTCCTCACTGATGACTTTTCCTGTTACCCTGACATGTTACATTTTCCCTGTATTATCAAGTCTCTTTTTACCACTCCCTGCCCTACTTGCTTCCATAGGTTGCCCAGGAGTTTGGCCCTGTTTTTAATTCACACCAAAATAGCAGACAGTGTTTGATTTGGGTTAGTCTCTCAATTTTTAGCTTTTCATTTTCTTATCAGGAATTTTAATTTGGGGAAAGAAGAATAACACAGTAATAAAATATACGCTGATTGTAAGAAGCTGATAAACAAGGGTACCTTTCCTTGGGTAGAGTGAAACATTAACATCTAATTGTACTACTGGCTAGACTAATGTCCCAGCCACCATTCATTCATTCATTGAGTTAAATCGTGTTAGGTTAACAGTGATACACAAGGGTGAAGAAGCCTTTGATCTTGTCCTCATATTGTAAAATATCTAGTAGGATAATTATATCAATAACTATAACAGGAGGTAGATTAAAGTATCGTAAGTAAGGAATCAGTTCAGTGCTATTGGAGCTTTTAATGTTTTGAAAGAGATGGTTGTTAGCTGGGGAGGGAGATCTGGGAAAGCTTTATGGATGAGGCATGCATATAAGTTTTGCTTTTAAAGATAGATACAATTAGAGCAAATGAAGTTGAGGCGAAGAGATACTCTGAGGTAACAGCATGAACAGACATGTTGGTAGGAATCCTAAGAAGGAAGTTTAGTGTTGGGTTTTGGAGTCAGGTAGACCTAAATTCAAATTCCATGTTTGTCACACATTAGTCACTGAAGAACCTTGGGCAAATTATTAATCTCCTTAAGCCTCGGTTCCTATCTCTAAATGAGGATAATAATAAAGCCTTATAAATTTGTAGTGAAGATTTATGAGATAATATATGTGGAGCACTTTTCTTTTATCATGTATCTGACTATAGCCAGTTCCAATAAATGTTGACTGCTAATGCTTTTGCTGTTGTTATTAATAATAACAAAGGTAAGTAATTCCATTTAGCTAATGTATTAGGGTGGGTAAACCCAGGAGTGGGAGATATGTTGGAAAGATAGTGGAAAGCTTTGACTATCAGTGGAAAGCTAAGCAATTTAAGGCAAGTTTATGGAGGTATAATTTACATTCAGTAAAATTCATCCTTTCTAAGTATATAATTTGATAGATGTTAACATGTATATGTAGTAGAACTACCACAATCAAGATATAGAACAATTCCATCACTGTTGGCATTTTTGCAGTTAGTCCTTTTCCCGACATCCCCAAACCATGACAACCACTGATCTGATTTTCTTCCATATAGTTTTGCGTTTTCCAGAATATCCTATAAATGGAAGTATACAGAATGTAACCTTTTGTCCCAGGTTCCTTTCATTTAGCATAACGCTTTTGAAATTCATGGATGTTATAACAGGTGTTAATGGCTTGTTCATTGTTATTATAGAATGATATCGATTGTATGGATGTACTACTATTTGTTTATCCATTCATCAATTGATAGATGTTTGAGTTTTTTCCAGTTTCTGGCTGTTATGAATAATGCCACTATATACATTCATGGGCACATCTTTGTGTGGACATGTGTTTTCATTTCTTTTGTGTAAATACCTTGGAATATATTGATGGTGGCATAGAAATGTAAAACTGCCAAATTATTTTCCAAAGTGACTATACAATTTTATATTCTACTTGTGATGTACAAGAGCTCTAGGTACTCTTTATCTTCACCAGCACCTTCTATTGTCTCTCTGTTTTTTAATGTTAGTCTTCTAGTAGGTCTGTATTGAATGATATCTCATTGTGGTTTTAGTTTATATAATGACCAATATGTTGAGTATCTTTTCATGTGTTAGTTTGCCATCCATACTTTTTCTCTGGAAAAATGTTCAAATTGTTTTGCTCATTTTTAAAAATTGGGTTATCTTCTTATTGAGTTTTAAGAGTTCTTTAAAAAAAAGAGTTCTTTATATATCCTAGATACAAGTCCTTTATCAAGTAAGTATTTTCTCCCAGTCTGTGGCTTACCTTTTCATTTTCTTAAGTGTCTTAAAAAGAGCAGTTTTTAACTTTGGTGAACTCCAGTTTATCAGTTTTTTATTATTCATGCTTCTTGTGTCTTATCCCAATAACTTTTTGTCACCCAAGTTACAAAGATAATTTCCAGTGTTTTCTTCTAGAAGCACTATTGTTTTAGGTTTTATATATAAGTCCGTGATCCATTTTTAGTTGATTTTTTTATATAGTGTGGAATAAGGAAGTACAGTATCAAGTTTAAGTGATTGAAGAAACGTGTGGTGAAGGTCAGACGGAAAGGATAGTATCTTGAGGGAAAGCAGTGATGAAGGAAGGTTTTGGGGGTGTGCTAGTTTCCTGGGGCTGCCATAACAGATTCCCACAGACTGAGCGGCTTATAACACAAAAATTTATTCTCTTGTAGTTCTGGAGGATAGAAGTGTCCCTAGACCATGCTCCCTCTGAAGGCTCTAATAAAGAATCCTTCCCTGCCCCTTTCTAGCTTCAGGTGCTTGCTATCAGTTGTTGGCATTACTTGGCTTGTAGATGCATCACTTCAATCTCTGCCTCTGTCTTCACGTGGTCATCTTCCCTCTGTGTGTCTCTGTGTCTAAATTTCCCTCTCCTTTCTTTTATAAAAACACCAGTCAGTGGATTTAGGACCCACTGTAATCCACTATGACCTTATGAAGCTCTAAGTGAACATGAATTTGGAGAAGATATTATTCAACCCAGGACAGGGGGATAGTTAAGATAAGGGGATATTACCACAGTGAGTTATTACTTCATACCCACTAGGATACTAAAATTAAAAAGACAATAACAAGTGTTGGTGAGGATATGGAGAAATTGGAACCCTTATATGCTGCTGGGTGGGATTGTAAAGTGGTATAGCCACTGTGGAAAACATTTTGGCATTTCCTCAAAAGGTTGAACATGGAGTTACCATATGATCCAGTAATTCCACTTCTGGGTATATACCCAAGAGAATTGATAACATTTGTCTACACAGAAATCTGTACATGAATGTTCATGGCATTATTATTCATAATAGCCAAAAAGTAGAAATAACCCAAATGTCCATTAATTGCTGATTGGATAAACTATGGTATATTCATGCAATGGAATATCATGCAGCCATAAAAAAGATGAGGTACTGACACATGCTGCAACATGGATGAACCTTGAAAGCATGCTAAGTGAAAGAAGCCAGTCACAAAAAGCCACAGATTGTATGATTCCATTTCTAGAGAGTAGTAGTTGCCAGGGGCTGAGGGGAGGGGGGAACAGGGTGTGCCTGCTAGTGGGTATGAGGTTTCTTCTTGGGGTGATGAAAATGTTTGGGAATTAGTGGTGATGGTTGTATAAGAGTTTACTTAAAAAAGTTAATTGTACACTTTAAAGGGGTGAATTTTATGGTATGTGAAGCTGTTATTAATAAAGATAAGGGGATGTTTGATATAACTCTAAGCTGAAGAGAGACAAACCCTTGAGTGGTCATGACTTTGCTTGGTCCAGTCACACGGTGACTTCCACATGGTTCTGCTGCAGTAGTATATTGGAACTCATCATTTTAATAAACTATATGATTAGTGCATCTAAAATATTATTTAGCCCAAATTTGTCTTATAAATGAAAATGATATATAATTTAAGCTGTGAATTCTAAAATGTGGGCTAAAAGATGATTATCTAAATCATATCAGTATACTGTTCCAGATGTAAGAATAGTAAGTGAATTTACCTAATTTAAAATTTTCCGTATAGATCATTGAAGAATCTTTTCTTTATTATTATTATTACTATTTTAAATTTATTTTATTTATTATTTTTGGCTACGTTGGGTCTTCATTGCTACGCTCAGGCTTTCTCTAGTTGTGGCGAGCAGGGGCTACTCTTCGTTGCGGTGCACGGGCTTCTCATTGTGGTGGCTCCTCTTATTGCCGGGCATGGGCTCTAGGAGTGCGGGCTTCAGTAGTTGTGGCTCATGGACTCTAGAGCGCAGGCTCAGTAGTTGTGGTGCACGGGCTGCTCCATGGCATGTGGGATCTTCCCAGACCAGGGCTCGAACCTGTGTCCCCTGCATTGGCAGGCGGATTCTTAACCACTGTGCCACCAGGGAAGCCTGAAAAAGTCTTCTCTTAACCTTAGGGTAAATATGATTACTATATTGGCCCACCTACAAAGAAAAAACATTTTAATTCTACCAGTTATATTGATTTCAGATATGATCATGTTGAACGCATTCTTAAAATCATGTTTCAAAAATAATCTGTTAATTTGGAGGGCCTACTTTAATGATTCATTATCGTATATTAAGCCACAATAGTAGCTAACATTTTTTGAGTACCTAATTGGTATCAAGCACTGGTTTGAGTTCTTATGAGCCATCTTTTAAAATCCTCACAGCATGCCCTTTAAGATATAGAGAAATATCTCACCCAATATAGAGAAGAAACTCACCCCATCTCACATAGCTAAGAATTTTAAGAGTTGGGATTTGAACCCAAACAGTCCATCTTAAGAAGGGAAGCCACCTATGTTCTTAGCCACTAAATTATGCTGGCTTTCTCGAAATATATTAAGCTTTTTAATGAAAAGTTTTTGAGATTTGCATGAGTAGCACAGATCACAGTTGAAGAGTTAGATGTGTAGGGGCAGAAAATATATGTTTTAGGGAACAGTGGGGACAATATGCAATCCAGAGGACATGGATATAATTCTCATTATTTTTCCCTGCCAGTATGAAGTGAAAGCTCCCGTTCCTTCTGCCTGTTTCAGGAATATTTGTAAGCAAATGGCAAAAATGCATGAAGCTATATTTGATCTCCTTCCAGAAGAACAAACACAAGTGAGTAGTAATTCCTAAAACTATTATATATAACATAATATGCATGCAGAATTGGAGTGTTTTTATTATGTACTTTTGGCACAGTTAAGCTTAGTTTGTATTCCAGTATGATTATTGTTTTTTCCAGTTGTTATATTGACTTGATTTCAAAGTGCTCCTTGCCCTGACAGGCCAGAGCAATAGTAGCTTTGCTGTGTAGTCAGCCATTCTAAAAAGCAGATTTTCATTTGTCCATTGGGTCATCAGAGGTCCCAGATTCTGCTGACATCATTTATTACATTATTAGTTTGAAAATCAGGATTAGCATTTATCAGTGAATAGTAGAATATGTTACTCACTGTGATTATAATCCAAATTGGATAGGGGAGGAATTAGTGATGGACTTAATAATGAGATGACATATAAAGTAACTCAATCAATATGCCTTAACATTAATATTTGTTAGATCAGCGTAAGTGATGTGTAGTAGGCACAGATCAGGAAAAATAGCAAAATGGGTAGTCTTTGGCACCTCTTACTTTTGAAGTATCCACCCTCTGTCTCTACTGTCTTCCCTACTCTATTAACAGAGTTCTCTTCACTTTTCGGTGACATTCCTACCCGTGACTTCCCTCGATTCCCTCGCCTAGTACTTTAAAGGTTCCAGTACTTCTTTTCTTCCGGTCTTCTTTACCCACCTTAGTTTGTTCCCTTTATACCAGGTGATCTCATTCAAGTCTAATTGTAGAATGATATGTTATAATTAGTACAAGCCTAGTTGTTACATGACTAATGATCTTAGCTTTCACTGGGATTTTTGCTATTTAGACAAGTTTCTTATCAATATTTCAGTTTGTCTCGAATTAGTTGAGTGCTTGGAAATGGTATTTGGGAGCAGAGAGTAGCTTTTTCAGTGTCTCTTCCCTGCTCTTGCACCTGCTGGTCTCCTTTCCCATGCCACCTCAGACTTCCATCCTATACTAGCTATTACCATTTTTTCATGTTTCCCTAGGTTTTCATTAATCATACCATCTTTATGATTAAATATCATCCAGCGCCTTTGGGGCTCTCTGAGGACTGAGGAGGAGCCTTGAGATGTGGAGCACCCACTAGGGTCTCTTCTTCCTTTCTCAGTCTTCCTAGCCAAGCCATCCTTTTCATTCCACATGTAAAATCCCCCACCTCTGACATTCTGACCTTCTGGATTTGCCATTTGAGTTCTAATTCTAGAACAAGGCTTAGCCAGGTCCAGGAGCTGGGTATATAGGTATTTCATGTATTTTTATCTGCATCATCATTTAAAGGGAACTCTTGTCAAGCTGGGCACAAATTATAGATTTTATGTCATTATTGTCACTTGAGTACGAGTAATTCCATAAAACTTTTCCATAGATGACTTTATATATTTTTTCCCATGGGAAATATATTTCACAAAATTGTTTCCATAGATTAATTGTATATAATTTCAGGTCAGGCATTTCCCAAAGAAGTATTGCATTAAAAATCTGCATGTGAAGCAATAAAATACTTCCAAGTAATTGGGAAAGATAACGGTAGCCTTGCCTTTACCATTGTGACTTTTTTCTCTATCAAGTTCCTAGTTAATATTGATACATTGCAGAATTCTCTGTCTCTTTTTATTCTTTTCACCTGTATGGTTGATCCCATTTACACATGCCAGAGGATTTCTACTAAGGGGCAAAAGGCAGTGATAAGTCGTATCACTAAAAGCAGTACTACTGAAAAGAGCAAAAAGAGCTTGTATCCAACTAAGGAGAAAAACTATACTGAAATAGCAATTAAATACTTTCAGAGGAGCATTTTAAAAGTATATGCCAAAGCAAAAGGTTTTTTAAATTTTTCTGCAAATAATAGTGATTACTTACATCTTCTATGTCAATAGAGCTTTAAGAAACTGAGTTTTCTTTCTTTTCCAGATGTTATTTTTAAGAATTAATGCAAGTTACAAACTCCACTTGAAAAAGCAATTATCTCACTTAAATGTGATAAATGATGGAGGACCTCAAAATGGGTATGTTTTCAACATGTTTTTACCCCATACTCCCATATTGAACTGTTTGACTGGTTTTTATTCATTATGCTGTCCTTTTCCACTATAATCTTGCCAGGGCCCCAGACTGTAAAATCAGCAAACTTTTGCCTTTTTTTCCCTCTGTGGAGGTGATGTATATCTATATATCTATATCTATATCTATCTATCTGTGTTAAAGTGTTTTATAGATGGTGAATTAGTTAACTGACCTTGTATGTCCATTTTGAGGCAGTGTACATTAGTAGCCCCTCCTTAAGTCACCCAGTAGTCTTCACCTATCCAGACAGAACTCAGAGTCCTACTTTGTATGATCGTGAGAGAGTCACTTAACCTCTGTGCCTTATTTATCAAATGAGAACTATAAAATCTGCCTTAATTCCTTCACAGGGTTACAAAAAATAAGCGTATACATATTTTATTGTAAGCCGTTGAACAAATTATATGTATTATTGGCGAAATAGATTTAGAATCAGAAAACGGGTTAAGTTCTGCCACTTACTAGCTCTATAACTGGGCAAAGCACTTACCCGAGTCTTAATATTCTTAGATTTTAAAATAGGGATGATAAAAAGTTCTGTCACAGAATTTTTGTTAAGAGCAATGTAGATAAAGATATGGGTTTAAAGATTATACAAAGTGCAAAGCGCTGATCATGTAGGTACACCTTTATATGATTTCTGTAGTGTTACCTGTTCCGTGGATTTTTAAGAATAGAATATTTTGTTCCCTTTCAAAGGAATTTCAGGCCTAAGTTTCAAACTTATAGGAACAAATGTAAAAAACATCTTTTGGAGTCAGAATTTGGCCCTACCCTTAAAAAGAAAAGAAGTACAGCTGACCCTTGAGCAAGAGGGCGATGGGGTGGGGGTTGGAGGTGCCAACCCTCCAGCAGTTGACAATCTGAGTATAACTTAGGGAGCTGGCCCTCCATATACAGGGCTCCTCTGTATCAACAATTCCACATCCACAGATTCAACCAGCTGCAGATCATGTAATGCTCTAGTATTTACTGTTTTAAAAAATCTGCGTATAAGTGGACCCATTCAGTTCAAACCTGTGTTGTTGGAGAGTACAATGAATTGATTTTGCACAAAACAATTTGGAAGCTTCAAACTGCTGAATTTGTCAGCCAGGCTGAATTTAAGAGTTTTATGCAAAAATCTGATTCTCTTTTGATTATTACCTGGTTCTTCTTTTTTTAAAAAAAGATTTTCAGAAATTTCAAAGCCACAGAAGAGTTCAAAGACAGTATAACAAATATCAAATACCTCTCAGAAACTATTCATAAAAAGCTAATTAAAGGCCCATTCCACTCATACTTTTCTACTTTTATTCACGTAACTAAATCTCGCAGGTTGGTTTTTCTCAGACCAGTAGTTCTGAAGCATCCAAGTTAATTCATCACCTATTATTTTCCTTGTTAATAAAGCTATTTGGGGGTTGGTACCACCTTAGAGATCTTCATTGTCACATACTTTTAAAGATACTAATACTGTGTAAGTCAAACTATGTCTTTGAGCGATCACTTGAAAGATAGAATTCCCTGAAAATTTCTCTCTAGACTCTAGCCAAAGACATAATAAACTACCTGCTTAAAAGGAATTTTTGTTCCAGAAATGGCTCTAAAATTTTACTTTTTTTTCAAGGTGAAGTTCACATAACATAAAATTAACCATTTTATAGTTAACCATTCAGTGGTCCTTAGTGCCTTCGCAGCCACCACCTGGGTGCAACTGCCAGCTCTATCTAGTTCCAAACATTTTACTACCCCAAGAGGAAATCCCATACCCATTAAGCAGTTGCTCCCTATTCCTTCTTCTCCCCAGTCCTGCACTTTTTCTTTTTAATGTGATTTTTTCCCTCTATTTTAAGATATTTTTAAAATAGAGACATATGGAGAATATTTATATTCCTGTTACTTAGAATTGATCATTAACATTTGTCATTTTCACTTGAAAAAAAAAAAGTTCATCATTTTTTTTAAAAATGGCATTCCAAATGGAGCTTAAGTACCCCTTGACCCCCATCTCCAGTCCTTTTCTCTTTCCTCCAACCCTTGGCAATGTTTCCAGTAAATCTGGTCTATATCCTTGAAGTCCTTCTCATTTATTGTCTCTTTATCTTAAAAAAAAATGTGGAGCTGTTTTATGAATTTAATTTACTTACATGGTATATTGTACATATGCTGCTTGCTTTTTTCCACTCAACATTGTTTGATTTATGTTGATATATAGAAATTGTCCGTTTTTGATTGCTTTATTGCATTCTCCCACATGAATCAACCATATTTAATGTTTCCATTTCACCTGGTGATCGATTTTAGGTCATTATTTTCTTCCATTACAATCATGCCACAGTGAAGATCTTTCCTTATACATGTGTAATGGTGTGATCAGTTCTTTAGGGTATGTACGTAGAAGTGGATCACATGTACATTTTCACTTTACTAGGTTTTGCCAGTATTTTCTCCAAAGTGGCTATACCAAGTTTATATTCCCACCTTTATTCCACATCTTGCCAACATTTGCTGTTAGATTTTTTAAATTGTTGCCAGTCTAATGGGATACAGTGGTATTTTGTTTTGATTTGCATTTCCTAATGTTTGTCATCTTTTCACGTATTTGTCATTCAGGTGTTCTCATCTGTGACTTTTCCTCTTCATATTCTTCACCCATTTTTTATCTTGGGTATTATCTTTTTCTTGCTGATTTTAGATTTTTGCATATGCCCTCAAACTGATCCTTCATTGGTTATATATATTGCAAATATCTGCTTTTCTTTTACGTTCTTTTATCAAATATTTTCAACTTTGATGTAAAACATATATTTTCTATGTACTGTCTTGTATAGACTGTAAATAGTTGTTTATTAAACATAACTTGATATTTTAAAATGGAGATTTCTGTTAATTTCATTTAATTTTTCATGTGGGAGCCTTGCCTTAAGACTTTGTTCTTTTTTGAGCCATTGCTGTCAGTTTCAGCGTACTTACTAATTTAGACTTTTTATGGATTTTAAAGCACCTTGACCCAGATGAGTTTCAAACAAAAATATGGTCCTTACTGAATTCTGCCACGTGACAAAAGCTGAAACACACTTATGAATGTATTTATAAATTAGACTCATACATATATTAAGGGTGCTTAAAATACCTTCGCCCCCTTGTGGTCCAGCAGTCCAGAACTTACATGCTCTTTAAAGTATCAAAGCTGCATTTCCTCTTCTTTTACAAACTATTAAATCAAGATCTCCTATTTGTTTCTCCATGGCCCAAATCTGTCAACGTACACATCTAATCAGACCAGTCCCTATTTTTTGTGTGTGGAGCTTTGGTATTTGTTTATCATCTGAGCATTCTTTCCAGGAGTGTTTTTTCAAGGATAGGGATTAATGTGACAGCTAAATACTTAAAAGCATAATTCTTACTTTTTTCAAGTATTGTTACATCGTCAATAGCAAGTTTTGTATCCAGTAGTACTTAACACATGAGTCCCAGCCTACATTTAACTTCTTAGGATGGCATTCAGGAAACCTTGTCTGTCTTTTCCTTGAGTTCAATAGTCATATACATGTATACTCTATTCTAGTGACAACTGATCAAAAAAAAAAAAAGTTTAACTTGTTATTTTTCTCTATTTCATACTGTTCTAAGATAAATTTATTGTATTGGGCAGAATTAATTATGAAACAGTCTAACCTGCATTGGTTTATTCCTTTTCAAAACAACACTGTTGAAAGAGAGAGAACATTAAATGATCTACCTATATGATAGTAGGAATCATGCTGAGAGAAATATATTGACATTTGGTCCAAATTTTATTTTATTTATTTTTTTTTTTATTTTTTTTTTTTTTTTTTTTTTTTTTACATCTTTATTGGGGTTTAATTGCTTTACAATGGTGTGTTAGTTTCTGCTTTATAACAGAGTGAGTCAGTTATACATATATATATGTTCCCATAT